TCTCTCTCTCTCTCTCTCTCTCTCTCTCTCTCTCTCACACACACACACACACACACACACACACACACACACACACACACACACACACGCGCGCGCACACAAAAACACTGCCAGGAGGAGACCAACTCTACTGAGGAAGACGTCAGCTCAACACACCCTTGTGTTGGAGAATCAGGTCGCTGACGGCTGTGCCATCAAGAAGGCCCTTTAACTAGTGAAGCTCAGTGTGTAGGAATGTAATGAGCAAACTGTGTGGTTTAAACACTTCTCCAATCCCATATGCAGGACCAAAGAACCCCAAAGTACATGGAGCAAAACCTACCAGGATGGAAGGGAGAAGCCAAGAACTGAACAACAGCTGTTGAAGATCAGCATCAACCTGTGAGAGCTGGCAGGGCAGACAGAAGAGAAGCACGGACAGAGGAGAACTGAACGCCTAACAGACACCTAGAGAGCTGTGCCCAGTTACAGCAGAATGCAGTCCTCTCGGGTGCTCACGGAGCACCCTCTCTGAAAGATGTGGTGTGCTATTAAGGAAGCTTTGGAACACTAAACAGGGTAAGATCACAAAAACCTTCCCCAACCAACTAATGGATCTGGAAGAATCTAAGATGAAATTAGAAATTTAAAACAGATTTGGACAATCTACAAATATGTATGGTTTAAACAATATAACCACTAAATAACCAGGGTGTCAAAGAAATCACAGGGGAAAGTAGAGATTATTAAGTAGAAATAAATATGGTTAGGCAAAATAGGACTTGGGGGAGATTTTTGGCTATGAGTATTTGTATTTTAACAAGAAACCAGGCATGCACTGGTAATCCCATCTACTCAGATTCATGGGTCTGACATCAGACTCATGGGTCACTGAACCCATGAGTTCCAGGCCAGCCTGGCACATAGGGAGACTGTTTCCAAACAAAAACCCAAATACAAAGACTCCTCCAAGACCGAATACCAATAACCTAATCTTTCACTTTACAGGAAGGAAAACAAGCCAGTGTCCTGGCACATGCTTTTAATCCTGGCACTTTGGAGGCAGAGGCAGGCGGATCTTGGTGAGTTCAGCCTGGTCTACATTCCGAGTTCCAGGCCAATGAAGACCACAGCTAGAGGATGAGAACTACCATCAGCCCTTACATGCTTCCAAAATACAGAACACACTTGTGAGACCAGCACTGCAATGATACCAAAGATAAACGAAGAAACTTTAGACCAGTATCTCTTATAAGACTGAAGAAACCATCAGCAAAATCCTAGCAAACTGGACCCAGCAATGTAAACGACGCTTACAATCAGTGAGATTATCCTAGGCTGCAAGGTTGGCCCAGCATAGAGAAAACCAGTGTAGCAGTTGGGATTGATAGTGACTGCTGACAGCATCTGGGAAGACTGTAGGTTTGAGGTCATCCTGGACTGAACAGCCAAATCCTGTCTCAAAAAAAAAAAAAGTCAGTATCCTATACTATGTTAAAAATAGGACATAGGACAAAATGCCACAAGATCATTGCAATAGACATAGAAAACAATTGATACCCTAAAAAATTGTCCTGTGATAAAAATACCCCATGACCTAGGAATATATATGTTCTCAACTTGATGGGGGAATACGCTAAGAAAATCTTGTAGCTAACCTCAAACTCAATGTTGACAAACTGGTATCTCTCTTCCCCCTTACCAAGATTGTTAACAAAACATGAAAATCAGTTCACATCCTTTATATCCAACCGCCTGGCATATGAGGTTCTACTTAAGGATGAACAAGTAAGAAAATAAAATAGACTATGAAAGACACATAAAAGACCCCTATGTTCAAAAGACAGAATCCTGTACATGGAAAATCCTAAAGACAAGTTCAGCAAGTTTGCGAAAAACAGCATATAAAATAAATTCCATTCGTATAGGAATGAAGTACTGCTACATGATACAACACTGATGACCCCTGAACACACTGAGAACAAGATGAAAAAAGACTACATATTATAAGACTATACTCATACGAAGTGCTCAGAACAGGCACACAGAGAAACACGCAGCAGATTTATAGCCCCCAGGGCTGGCAGGAGTGGGAAATTCTGTTAGCGGGTGTGAGGTTTCTTTGTGGGTGATGAAATGTTCTAGAATTAGCACACCTGCAATGGTTGCATGGCCTGTGAATACCGACAGAAACATGGTATTTCAGGGATGCTACAGCAGAAGGCCACAAATCTACTGCTTGATCTACAAATACCGACCATCCTTTAAACACACAATATGACGAACTAGCTCATCATTTTCTTCAAGAAGGCAGAAATATTTCATTACCACATGTTGAAATGGCTCTTGGCTAAGCCGACTTCACGCTTTCAAAAATGAGTAATGTACACACTAAGCGAAAGGAATAGCTTGGTTTGGAAGTCCTTACAACTCATTCCTTCATCCCACAAATTAATTTATTGAGCACTTACTACATGCAAAGCACATTCCCAGGTGTGGGGAAAGTTCTGTGTGGAGCTAAAGTCCTAGTGAAGGTGCACGGATCACCAACAAAGGAAGGAGAAGTTACCAGAGTGGAAAGGCCTCCTGGGAAAAAATAAAGTAGAGAGGGCAGCACCACACAGGGTGTCTCTGCTCTGCCCAGGTTAGATACCAGCAGCCACGCTGTCCTGCCCTCTTATGAAGTTGTGAGCACATTCTATATGCAGTATCAAAATTAGCCTCTGAAACACGCTTGTGAAGGACACTTACAACACAGTGCTTTTATTTTATTATTTATTTATTTTAATACAAAGCTTTGGCATTAGCAATTTTATGAAAAAATAAAATGTACTAAAAATAAACGCTTGTGTGGCATGATTGGTAAATGATGCACAAAAATAGGTTCTTTTTTTCCTTCAAGGCAATCAGTCAGAAAGCAGTGTTTTTCCTTCTTCAAAACCATTCTACCCTATGGAATAAAAGGGAAACAGAGATTATTGATTAGTTAAAGGGTGGTTGTCAACATTCTAAAACAAGAGACATGATCCTGCAGGGTGGCCTGGGACTTGCCCCAGCCCTAGCATTTGCCCGAGACTAGCAGTTTCCGAGCAGTAGTTGAGCAGCTCATCTTCTCAGAACTGCGTTAATCTTCCCGACTGAATACAGGAAAAAGACAGGCTAACAGTGCCTTGTTTAACATATAGGGGTGGCTGCTGTCCCAGCTGGATTTGCACATGCTGCTCTTTACCACTCTAGACTACCATGGCTATGTGAAAGAGCTGAAGAGCACAGACTTCAGGGACATGCAGCTTTCTGTTCAGGAACCTCTCAGGTTTTATGTGCACCCAGTATTATCTTAATGTCTCCATAACAGGTGCTAAAGAGTGCTCGCAGTCTTCTGAAAAGTTTCCTGGTGCCCACAGGATCCTGTTGTCTTCTTTGCAGCCCTTGGCCCTGTGAGACCACTCTACTTCCTGGCCCTTTGTACTTGGCTTATTCCCTAAGCAAGGCCTCCCTACCACCAGGCCTGGGGTGTGCACTGGCCTAAATCACGCCATCAGTTCTGATCGTTTCCTCTGTGCTGAGTGAGGATCCATGCTGCAAACCACCTGACCTTTGGCTCTCATACAACCCTCCAGGGCCTCTTCCTTTTCTCCCTACCATGTGAGGACTTCTTCCTTCAATTCTGACTTGTACTTAACTTTCTGCCTCCATCTCTACCCTCAGAGAACCATCTCAGCCACCATGAAAACCCTCAGACACTCACCACTGTTTATAAGAATAAGGTCTGAATTCTGTGGTCTGCCTGCTCCCAGTGCTACGGCCTCTGGTGGATGCACCGAACCACACACTCCCGAAACCTGCTCTGCTTCCCCTCACTTGTGGCCCTCTCTCCTGTGAGGTCCTTGGTGCACAAGCAGCAGCTCTCTTGGGTGTCCCTCCCTCTCTCCTTTCTGTTTCTTTCCTCATTTCCAACCCCTGCAGGGAAGGGAAGTCAGGCCTCAGAACTCATCCCCTGGTCCCATGAGGCCAGTGCCTGTGAGCACTGAGGCACGGCATTAAAAATGATTAAGGGAGCTAGCCAACTTTTTCTGGAAAAAGCTCTGGTGTGAACAACGGTCACTTTTCCTAAGTACCTCTGCTCATTTCTCCTAGTCCCTACTGAAGGTGCCACATCTTCCTTGTAGTACCTCTTCAGAAAAACTGGATATTATGAGATGGAAGGGCTTTTTAGGAACACCATAACATTAGGTGCTTCTGAGAAAAAGAAAAATGGCCACTGCAAAGACCAAAGGTAACTGCTGCTTGGGACTCTTCTTCCACATCATCTTCTTAGAAACTAAACTTCTCTGGTCACAATTGAACCCCTCAGTGTTCTGTGGAGCAGTCAGGGCCAAGTAGTACAGAGAGAAGTTGGGAACAGAGGTACTGGTCTGCATCCCACTGTCCTTCCTAAGCATCTGTTAGGGACCACTCAATTCCTCTGAGTCTCAGTACTCCTCTGTGTCTAAATACTGTAAATTGGCTAAAAGAGAGTAAATATGACAAAAAGGAAGAAGATCTATTCCCAGCATACACCTCAGAAAGTAATGTTAAGTATTCTTGGTAACCTAAAAAACAAAGATGGATGCTAGTTTGACCAAGAGTATTTGACTGAAAAAGTAAACATCTAAAATTCTTGCCCAGTGCTTCTCAAACTATTCCTGAAGTCAGTTTGGAATTTCATGACTCGCATTAATAGAGAAACAAAGTACAAGACAGGATGTGGCAGGCAGGAAGGGCCACTCTTGTTTCAGTCATGTATGAGGGAGTGCTCGGTCCCCTCACTCTGGGAGATGGTGAAGTCTGGAAACTCTGCCTTTGAAATTCAAAGTCTTGCAAAAGGCAACTAGAAAGCAATCCCAATCCTTGCCACATGGGCTCTGATCCCACCCAGTAGCATGCACTCAAAAGGAGACCTGCCTCTCACAGCCCTAAACTGTAGCTTCTGGGTAAATAGCCAGGCCACAGCTGGCGAGCTCATTAGTTTACCAACTGTCCATATGGACAACTCTGCCTGAGAGAAGTTGTTTTCTTCATTAAACCTACACCCCTCTGTAATGCATCAGGGCTCCAGAACTATAGGAAGCCTCACTCTCTTCTGCACTGGCTGTGCAGTGTGAGGCTACTGTGAGGACAAGGGGATGCTCAGTCCATAGCAGATCCTCCTTTCTCTAGCCGTCCTTGGGACACCTTGAGAGACCTCTCACCTCCTCTTTCCTCCTTTCTAAGCAAAGCATCCCCAAGACACCTAATGGTTCTATTTTCAGACCCTTCTCTATCAACACTCTGCTCATCCGTCAGTGCTCTAAAACAGAAGTCTAACTAGCTGGCTGCGGTGGTGTACTCCAGAAAGCAAGAGTTCTAAATAGACTACAGAAATATTCATTATAGAGGAAACTGGGATCATCAACTGCTTTTATTTGGTTGATAAACGTCTACAATCACACCTGGAAAGCTCACCAGAACTATCAGTGAGGCATGGGTCCCATCTACCTGCTGAAGAGTCCAGAAGCCAGGGCTTCTCAATGTTAGGTCCCAGCACAGAAGCATCTTTCTATATACTTGATCACATTAATTATATGCATTTCCTGCTGACCAGACCAATTATAAAATCTTGAGTACCTGTGCTACCTATCTCTATAAATCTTAAGATGTGATTTTTTAGAATCAGAGTCTATAAACTAAGAGATGGTTCCTAGAGATATAGTCCCACTTCCCACTCAATTAAAAAATCTCTCCTACATCATCTACATATGTGTTCCTCAAAAACAAGGATGAAAATATCTTTCTCACAGAGAGGGAAAGATGTCACAAATATAAGCGGGCAGGTGCTGGGCTTTCATAAGGCTTATTAGAATAGGTTGAACAAAACTCCCTGGGGAGTGAAGTTCAGCAGTCAGTCTTGCTGATGCAGGCACTGAGAATGCAGCGTGAGGAAGGCAGCGAAGGCCTGTGTGCTTTTGCTGTGCATTTCACTCCTCTGGCCATCATCCTGTTTACATCTGTAGTCTCAACTGTCTGCAGTGCTAAAAGCTTTTTAAGGAATAATTAGTTACAGAAGAGTACTTAAAAAAGTACTCTTTCACCGAACAGAAGGACTCCAAAATACACAGACTTCTGATGCAGCCATTAGCATCGAATCCTTGGTAAATGGTACCTGTAAATAAGGTCGGGACACTGCTCCCTGGTGGTCATCAATGTACTTACAGCAAAGTACAAGGAGCCCGGACCTGCCTAGGTTCAGCATGGCTGCCCTAACATCTGTCCATGCTGCTTGCTCTTGCCTACAGGGTTTTCTGAATGAACACACTGCACTGCTGAAGCTGTCAGGAAAAAAAAAAAAAACTGTCCTTGTAGGTACATTTGTGCTGGGGTTACTATTAGTTTCCAGACGATCACTAAAATGTCAACAGGTCTTTCCATCTGTTTATAGATAATACCATCATACAAATGGACAGGTTAAACCAGGATGATTGAAATTAAAAAGGACCTCATTTTGGTTATAAATTTATTGGTAGATTAGGGCAAAATGAGTACGTAGATTAAAAAAAATCCATGAACAAAGAATTTAAAAATTGCTAACTTTTTTTGTTTTGTTTTTCAAGACAGGGTTTCTCTGTGTAATAGCTTTGGCTGACCTGGAACTCTCTTTGTAGACCAGGCTGGCTTCAAACTCACAGAGATCCACCTGCCTCTACCTCCAAAATGATGGGATTAAAGGCATGCACCAACACACCTGGCCTGCTAAAAAATTTATATCTGGAATAAAATAATTTAGGAATTTCCACCAACCTTTTAGAGAGACACTGGCACAGAGTGACTGATCTTTATCTCCCACAATAAAATGGTCTTAAATGAAAAAGTCAAGTGATTCATACTTGCAAAAACAACAAAACCCCCAAGTCACACAGAAGCTCACAATGGAGAGGAAAAGATCCTAAAAATATCACCTAAGATACTCACCACTAATACTTTGGTGACTATCTTTTTCATGGACCCTCAGGTGTGTATACACACATGTGCACATGCACGCACACACTCACTCAATTTCTCTCTAAATGGGATTATGAATACTGTCCTTTAGGATGGTTTTGAAGGCAAAGAAGTAATAGTTGAATGAACAATTGCAAATCAACCATCTACAAAGGCTAATGGGAGAAGGGTTGACTAAGACATGGCTGTGAAGACCCATGACTTAGGTGCTGAGTAATGCATTTATGTATGGAACTGAAGCAGTATGACCCAGGCACTTGGGTTCCTATTTAGCATTCTCTGAAGTATCTATTGTATAGACTGAGTATCTGGGAAGATTCTGAGTAAGAGGACCATTGAACTGTCTAGTCATTCTATAAAAGTGCCCAGAGCATCACTATTGATTTATAATGCTTGTTACTCATAGTTGAATTTTTAAAAATATTTACATTTACCTATTTTATGTCCAGGTGTGTGTGTGCATGTGGTATTTGCAAAGACATGTGTGGAGGTCAGAGGACAACTTGCAGGAATTATTTTTTTTCTTCCACATGGTAGGTTCTATGACTGAACTCGTCAGGCTTGGCAGCAAATGCTTTTACTCATTGAATCATCTCACCAGCCCCCTCACTGGTAAAATCTTAAGAACTGGGCTCTGCTGGGCAGTGGTGGCGCATGCCTTTAATCCCAGCACTCGGGAGGCAGAGGCAGGTGGATCTCTGTGAATTCGAGGCCAACCTGGTCTACAGAATGAGTTCCAGGGCAGCCAGAGCTACATAGTAAGACCCTGTCTCAAAAACAAAACAAAAAAAGAACTGGGCTTCTTATCTAGCTTGACTGGGAATAAGCAAGACAAATGGCTACAGACAAAACAATGACTTCACTTTGAATGCAAGTGTTTTTGAAATCATGGGCGCATGGAGTTCCTATACACTGTATCTAATTTCATGGACA